CCGCCGGACGGCCCCGCACGGCCCCTCGGGGCGGCCGCCCAAAGGCCCCGGGGGAGAGATGGCTGTCCCCGGAGCCGGTGTCCCCCGGCGCGGAGAAGGGTAGTGGCTACACCTGCCCGGGAGGCTCCTGCTGCCATTCCCAGGTGTCCTGTCCCCCAGCTCTGCCTGCAGTTCGCCTCCCCCAGCCACATGCGGGGTGCGAGTGGTGCGGGCGCTGGGGTCCCTTGTCCTAGGTGAAATTACCCTCTGCTTTCGTCCCCGCGCTTGAGGGAGGAAGGCTTTCAGGTCCAAAATGTGCCCTGCTCCTTCCTTCTAAGTTGTTCATCAGAACAAGCTGTTGTTCCTGAGAGGAAGGAGAGAAGCCAGTATCTCCTTGTGGAACACTGCTTTGTCTTTATGTTGCCATTCTCGAGAGCTCCTGTTGCCAAGAGGAATTTCTTGATTTAACGAAAAACCAGTCATATATGACATGGCAGTATGCACCAGAGGCTTTCCCACCACCAGCCTGGAGCAGGCAGGGCTGGTTCTTTGAGCCCGAGGGAAACGAAATGGTGACCTGAAGTTGTTATGTCACAGGTCCCTATGCTCAATGATTCCAGCAAGGGTTTCTGTGCCAAGCCTACCTTCAAACGGGTGGCAAAAATGTGCCCAACCCTGACTTTCAATCCATTATGAATTGTCACCACCACTGCACGCTGGGCCTGACACCGTAAGTCATGCTTACCTATATCCGTAATTAAAACACAAAGGCTCATAGGAAGGAAAGAGAGAAACACAAGCCCTTTTGGAAAGGTACTTTCAAGGTTGTAATTATTCACTTATGATGAGTTTTCTTTCGTGGGGAAATATGCAAAGCTGTTTTCTCGTTGTAAGTTGCATGAAGGAGGTGAATGGGCACTGGACGAGGTAGGATGACTTTTTAATAAGCTTGTATTTATGTAAAAACGTTGTGGTTCTCAGTCGGAAAAAAAAATAAAAAATAAAAAATTTAAAAAGCGGAGGCAGGCAGGCTGCCGAGCCAGACGTGGCATTGCTGCCATCTCGTGGCAAGCGCTCCCTCCCTGCCGGGCCCGGGCCGCAGCCCTTTCCCCACAGCTCACAAACCCACTGCCCTCCGAACACTTCCACAGAAGCGATCTGGTTTTAGTTAGCATTCATCCATATTTTAAGAGCACCTCCGGGACTCATTTTTTTCCATTAGTGAAAGTAAAATGATGCTAATACTTGTTAGTACCAGACGTCATGTAGCCAAGCTGCCGTGCAGAATTCCCCAGTCAGAGCTGCTCAGGCTCCTCCACTTATCTTTGTCAGACGACTGGGGGGAGTTTGCTAAAGATTGTGAGAAAGATGGAAATGGGCACTAAGCTTAAGCTGAGACTTACTTTCTAGCATCCATTAGTCTGAGGCTCAGATTTTTGAAATGAGCAATTGCTTGCATTGCATCTGGCCCAGTAATTTTTTGTTTTGTTCTGTTGTATTGTCTGTTAAGTTGGGATAGTTGAAAAGTCGTAAATAAGCACCATTTATAGTTGCCTGCACCTAGATGAAAGCAGTAATGATGGTGTCATTTCTTGCTATGCTGTTTCAGTAAGCACTCTTGAGAAGTTGCTGTTTAATCCTACTCATAGCAGATTCTGCCAAAGCTCCAGTATGATATAATATGTGCCTTCTTGGTCTTGACTCACACAGCATAGATTTACTGTATCTGAGGCCTTCTGTTCTTCTGAGGATTTTCTGGGCTTCGTTGAGCTTTTGGGACCCAATTCCTTCTCTGTTGAGCTATCCAAGTGTTAATTTGCTCCTTTCATAGCACCTGGATAAGGTAAAATAACTAAGCACCACAATCATTATGTCTGCAGAAGATGCCTTCTCTCCTTTTTCACACCCTGTGACAGTGAACCATAATGCATAAACCTTGCCAGCCTTTAGCATGTTACCATTTGTCACCTGAGATAGTGCCTTACTGAGATAAACAAGATAGCACAGACCCCCCCCCGAGAAGATTTCAGACTCTCAACAGACTCAGGTAGCTGTCACAGTGACTTTTACAAACCTTGTGTGACATATTTTTTTTTTCTCCCAAAGCCAAAAAAGCCAGAAGATGACTCTGGAACTGAAGCACGGTGTTCCAGGAGGAATCTCCACCAACCTGACTTGAGCTCAGTGTGGAACTGCAGTACCTAAACATGGTAATTACAGAACATGATCTAGCCTAATGATTGTAATCTCTCAGTTGTATATTAAGTACCTAATGTACTACCATAAAATCCACGAATTTATGAGTTTGAACAGAGGCAATATTTCTCCCAATTCCCTATAGACAGTATGGGGAGTGTATATGTCAAGACTATTTGTACTAATCAGGGTGATTTAAAGGTAGCTTGACAAGGATTTATTTTCAGTTTAGAGCTTGTCCTTTTGTTCCTCTATGCCATATAAAACAAAGGTCTGAAAGGTTAGATTTCCTCTTCTTTTTTAATGTTTTTCAGCTTGCTATGAATAATGATATTATTTGATAATATGATAACATAATATATAATATTATAATAAATAATATAATATTATACTATTATATTATAGTATTGAATCCATATTTCCATGTTCTCGTTTTACAGGAGGAAGAAGAATATTTCTGTGAGGTGCAAGAAGAATATTTGCACCTATCCAAGAAAAACTACTGATTCAGAACATAACTGAAAATATAATACACACTTATTAAAATGGGATATTTGTGGGAACTCATAGACACAATCTGTACTTGTCATTGGACACAGAAGTCTGTAGCTTTCTGTCAAAAGGTTATTGTGAAATTCAAAATGTCAAAGCTTAAAAATTCAAAATATTATGTTGGGGGGAAAAAATCTATAGAAGATAGTCTACACAGAACAGAGATTTAGTGTGAGGAAGTCAGAAAGTAGAACAGTGTTCTTCATGAGCAACTTCATCCAAATGTTTTTTTGTCACATAAGCTCTTCAGTTATGAGCAAAAACAGAGACTGCAGCTCCAAATACTCTCACTTAGCACATTCTCTTTTCAAGAACTCTGCTTTCAGCCTTGAAATATTTAATGATTTCTTTAATCATAAGAGTCTTCTAGGCTGGAACAATGAAAAAACATTTATATATACATATGTTCCTAACCCAAATTTGTTAAACCATAAAGAATAAAAAGGAGGCCATGCCACCCACAGTCTATCTACAGTTAAAAAATTTGTTTCTTGAGCTTAGGCTAGACTCTGCTTTCTTTTTGTGGTGATGTTGTGTCCAGACTACAATCTCTGGTAAGACTGACAATGTCGATGACATCTGCAGTGTCGGCTACAACCACATCATTATGTTATATAGCAGCACAGGCAATAGATGTGAGTATCAATAGCCTTCTAAGCTGGAGAAAGGAGAAAAGAGGGAAAAGAGGAATAGGCTGTCAGGCAGGACACTTCAAGGGAGTATTGGTCAGCAAAGAGGATATCATGATAGTGTTGTTCAAGAGGCCCCTGGGCAGCCTGCTCCTGCTCTGCTATATTGTATTCCCCTGTGGAATGCTTAGTTTAGGGGGAACAGTTGGCATAAGTGTTGGGGAAAATGTAAGTTGCCTGTTTTAAAGTAGTCAAGCATTACTTAGCTCCTCAGGGGCAGGCTCTAACACACTTTCTTTTCAGAGCACCTACACTGATCCCGTCTATCCTTAAGGTGACATTAATAATTGATGTTAGGAAGATGAGACTTCTGAAAGACATTTCTGCCTTTGAGGGAAGGTGGAATTTGTAGGTAGGAGCCTTCAGGGTGCCTGTAGGAGACAATATCAAGATCATTATTCCACTTAGGAGCTGTTTCCCAGAGATTTAAACATTTTAGCTTTGGAGGGTTAACAGGGGAAAAGGGAACTTTGTTGTAGTAAGTAAGGAAAAAAGATTATTTGTTTTCTTTATAAGCATAAGAAGATCCTGCAAAGTGTGATGTATGACCATGCAAGGCTAATAACATGGGTAACAGCAGCTAGGAAAATGGTCTAAACAGACAAGTAAGTCAGCATCTTGACAGCGAGTAAAATGTGACAGTGTCAGCAGGCTTTGAGAATGAAAAATAGTAACTTCTATCAGATGGGAGAGATATGGAAGAAGCAGAGAAGTGAGGCCAAAAATAGCTCAGAAAACAATCTTTTTATGGCAGAAATCTCATTGGATATGGGAAAGGCAACACTACATTTGTCAGAGCTGGAAATATCCTGATTTCATCAGAGCTGGAAAGATCCTGCTTTCATTGGGACAGGATAGATGTTTGGTTGTGAGGAGACTTTGGTCATGCCTGTCAGGAGGACTCCATACCCAAGAGTCTAGTTGTTTGCCTTGAGCTGTCTTACCTGAGCAACCACAGTGCTGAACAATATACAGCTATGCAGTGTCTTAATTATGAGCACACACTGATTTATTAAGAAAGTGCTTGGTTTAGCATCTAGTGAACTGCTGCTAACTTGAGCTACCATGACTGTTCTCTATTTGTTTACGCATTTGGAAGAGTCATGCTTCAACCTAGCTCTCTTGGTGTGGTTTCCTTGTGCTGAGCCTTATATCTCATTTAGTCTTGCAACCCAGTTGCTAGGAACTAAAGATCTTACGTGTTAGGAAAAAGACTTAAGTGATATCCTTGGCTCATATTTTGAGCTAACTGGCTGAGAAATAAAGGTTTAGTGTATAGAAAAGGATAGGTTGTCTGTTTGATTCATGATGCATTGGAGATGATGGCTCCATATACATGAGGATATGTCAGAGAGACAGGCTGAGGCTTCAGTTTGGATATAAGGAGATTAGTCTGGAGTAGACTAGTATATCTCTGAGTCATTAGCAAACAGATGGTAGTTGAATTTGTATTTGCTGATGAGAAACAAGGTGTAGAGAGGAGATAGAAGGGAAACAAAGACAGAAAACCCACACAGTAGTTTGGAGAGTGGATGAGATATTCTCAAACACACTACCTTAGCAATCAGGTAAAGAGGGAATTGATGACGATAGGGACATACACTATTTTAAGAAGAGTTCTGTGTTAGGTCCAAGTGGATGAAAATGGTGTCTTCCTAAACTTTAGTTTTTGGGAGATTGAGGAATTAATAGTTTCATGGGGCCCTGAAGATGGGCAAGACTAAATCAGAGAAAAATTGTTTCAAAGGAATTCCTAAGAGTGTTACAATAACACTTCTTCTAATAATATTCTTGTGTTCTCATTCTCCTTCCATAAAGAATGGGCTAATAGCTGGGAGCTGAAAGTGAAATAGAAGAAAATGTAGGTAAAATCATACTGTTTCTAACATGGCAAAGACTAATCCATAAATAGAGGGGTAAGTAGTCACAAGAGAGGAAAGAGAACAAGAGGAGTACAGGTCATGAGAAAAATGGTGAGAAATTATGATACTGATCATGAAAGAAGTTGGATGGCTGGGTGGAATGGAGGCATTGAAGCAGCTAAAGGAGAAAAATGAGGTAAACACAGAAGAAACTTTTGAATCCATGTTCAGAAGAAAAAAAAAATAAAGAGTTAATTGTTAAAGGAGGAAATAAAGAGGTGTAATGCTAAAGCAAGGGTAATCATAAGTAGATGTTTAAAAATTGTCATAAGAACCTCTTCTGTCTATGGTACTTCAGGTCTTTATTCCTCCTAATTGAGGTTTAGACCACTATTGTGGTAGTGGAAGTTTCATAAATAGAGAACAAAATATATTGAGATAAAAAATAAAACATGTCAGCAAGAGCAGTTAATCATGTGTCTTGCAGCTCTTTCTTTCATCATACCTTGAGACTTCTTGTTTGGACTTAAATTCTGCCAGGTTTCCAGATGAAAGAGATTTCAGAGATGGAGTCAGTCCTTCTATCTTTACATTGAATGTTTGGCTTACTTTTTAATAGCAGGGTCTTCACAAGAAGTGTTAACAGTCAGAAGAGGAAAATGGGGAGAATACACATATAACCAGGTGTGCAGTCATCAGTGCTTTAAAAATAATCACTATCAACAAATTACACTTAGAGTCAAAGAGTCCTTGACTGAAGTGACTTAATCTCTAGAGATATATTCAGTTTGGCAGGTGTTCCAAGAAATGAGTTTGTATGGCTTATACTAACGGAGCTTTTGGGTACGCTTCACTCTCTCATAAGAAAAGGGTCAGAGAGGATTTCTGTGAATTTTTTTTATCAGGAAGGTGTTGCTGCAGTTTCTTGAGTTCTGATGATGGCCTCACTGGATATGCTAAGCTGGAAAGTAATAACTGTGACAGTCCCAACAGAACATCTGTGGACAAATAATCTTGTCCACATTCATATTTATTTTCCAAATAGATGTTGTAGAAATAGCTTCTGCTGCACCTCAAAATATTTTTTCAAAATAGATGAATTTCACCTGTGTACCTCAATCACTTTATTTGTACCTATCCACACCTGAGGGATCTTCTGACCCTCTTCTACAGAACACCACAGCGAGTGGTCTGTACAGGCCTGCAGAGGGAGACACTCTGTTCAGGTGCTTGCCAGATTTCACAGCTGGTTATCTCCATGTATTAACTGAAAAAAATTTGATGGTGTGGTTTAAACCATCATAACAATGTCATTCAAACTTCATGACAATGTCTGATTTAAAATTACTTAAATGTCTCAAAACTGTTCCTTAAATGTTTTTTCTTTTATGTGTTAATATGCTTCTAAGTCCTACTTCAAGCTCATGATGTGGCTGCATCTGGGATGTGCATATGCAGATACACTGAAATGATTTCTTCTCCATTGATGAATATTAACTTTGGGGGGAGTGGGGAGGAAGAGGTTGATTACCCTTTTTTTCAAAGGCAAACAGCCTTACAGTTACTGCAAACTAACAGAGTACACGTGAATGCTTACTGCAATTATCCATCAAAGCTTTGCTAACCTGAGATAAATGGCAGTCTTTCCACTGACTTCAGTGATGACAGGATCATATCCTATACAAATAATAAATCTTTGGCTTTGGCTGAGTGGGAAAGAGTTATAAAATCAAAGTATCGATTGCATTGAAGTTTAAGTTACAATGCAGCATTACTCCCAGTAGCTGTGTGTGAGTATGGGACAAGAATAACCTGGTGGGATTTTGTACCTGTAAAGGAAGAATTTGAGGTGCTCTTCCTGCTGTAGCCCATTATCAATAACATCTGCTTTCACAGGAAAAGAGACCCAGCAACAGAGTCATTAGGAAGTGATCATGTACTCACAGTTCTCTACTCACATATTGACCAAGCTAGATGGGGACCATCTAAATCTTTGAAATGCAAACATTGCTATCATTGACCCATCAGCATAACCTCAATTATCTTCCCAAATATTGTGTGGCCTGACACTGGACAGTGATTGGCTTTGCTAATACCATCCAAAGATGGGGTTTTGAGAAAGAGCCTAACTGCTGCTTAAGTAAAGCTGGCAAAATGCCTTTCTGAAGAGAGGCATAATGGTATTCATAAATAATGAGATTAAGTATCTTCTTGCTTGCTTTAACCAGTCATGATTTTCTTCCATTTGGAAAGAAGGCAGAACCGTGTTCTACCCTTCATGCATGAAACTGTGAGAGGTCTAGCCTTTTTTAGTGAATTAATTTTTTGTTCTTTGTCATCTCATTCTCTTCTTACACAGCATTTTAGCCAGCTGTTCTAAAACAGCAAGTTCTGAGCAGTGATGATCTATCCTCCCTACTTAGTCCTTTACAGTTCATCTACTTTCTACATTGCCATTGCCATTTCTCCCCTAACTTCTAAATTGGAGTTCCTCTCTGTCTAAAACAGACAGGCTTTTCTTCTTGAGAACATCAGTAACCTAGTCTGTCTGTGGGACTTCTACACACTAAGATCAGAACTCACCATAGAAATAATCTGCTTCTCAGATTCAACTTTCCCTTTTCCTGTATGAAGTCTCTATGTCTCTGTTTCTAGGGAGCTTAACTCTCAGACTGCAAATCTGAAAAAATCAGATGAGTTCTGACTGAATTCAAGATAGCATCACTGTCATTTTTCACATGGACAGATTTCTGAATAAATTAGCTACC